AAATTTAGAGCAAAAATCACAAGTTTTTTTACTTTCTTTTTCCAATTCTAAAACTGTGTATTCCAGTTCTCTCATTGAAATTACTCTTTATTTAGACTTAACTTCTACTTGAGCAATCATTTCTTGGTTGTGAAGCTTTTCCTTTTTGATTAGCCTTTGTAATTTTTGGAACTTAACATTTGCTTCTGTTTTTAATTGACTAAATATGCTCTGTTTAGGTAAGGTAGGTAAGGGTTTATTATCTAAGTAGAGTGAATTCCTTAGATTTTCATTTTGTGTTTCACTATCAGTTAATTGCTTGCTTAGGTTTTCTATTTTTTTGCTCTTTTGACTTGATTCCTCCTCCAACTTTTCAACTTGGGCTTCTAGATGAGAAATCTTTGCACTAGTACTTTCAAGTTTCTTGTTTTTCTCCTTTATATATTGTTTTTGTAAACACCCACAAGAGGCTAGGCCTAACTTATTATTATCCTCGTAGTAAATGAATGATCTAGATGAGCAAAATGGGGTTATGTCCGAATCAACAACATCTTCCTGATTATCTAGTTGGTTAAATGGCACAAGCACCTGCCCACCAGCAGAATTCATCGACAAGATCTTTCTTGTATTCCGGGCTGCATTGACTAAATATATGTGGCGTAGAGAATGGAAAAGGGCCAAAAATGATTTTGAGTGGCAAACCCAACAAAGTGTACATCTGTATTACAATGGATCATAACACTATTAACAAATTTTATAATAATAATGTCCCGCCTATTATCTTTGTTTTTTCTTAATTTCCTACATTCGAATCATTCTTTTCTCGCTTTATTTTTAAGTTGGGCAGACTCGAGTTAAAACTTGAATTTTCAAGTTCGAGTTGAGTTCAAGAAAATAGGCTCTTAAATAATCATTGGCAAAAAATTTAGTTTATATATGAATTTGACACAGCTGTGGCAGTAACCCATCTATGAAGTTCAATGATTGTCATATTGCATCACTTATGAAATGTTATTGAGTAAACCTTACATTCAAAATAATCATTACCTTATATTAAAAAATTATAAAACCATCCATAGTTGCTAGCTGAAATTGCTTCTCTTAGTAAATGATTGTTGCCGAATTAAAAATGCCAAAATAGCTGGAATTAATTTTATTAGTGGCCAAAATTATATTTGAATTCTTTGGATTCCATAGCCAAAGTGCTGGATGGTTTTTTTATGCTCATTAATATAGGGAATATGGAAAAGCCAAAATGTTGCTGAAATATTTGGCAAAAGCAAAACCAATTTTGGCTAACAACTATGAAACCATCTCCAGATCACTAATCTTCAATTAAAAATCTTCAATAATAATTGTCAAATAGAATTTTATTTTGCTTAAAAAATAATAATAATAATAAAAGGAGTTTTTTTGTGCAGATGATTCAGATTTATATTAATAAAAAATAAAGCTCTCTCCTATTTCACTAATTATATGAAAAAATAATTTTTTACTGAGTGTGTTAAAATATTTAGGATTCAAGAAAAATATACCGCTGCCTTTTTGCATATGGTATAAATTTAGTACTATAAGTCCTTGATTTTGCAACTCCATTCAGAAGTCGTGGTAGTAATGCTTTTAATTTATAATTATATCTTGTTGGCTCCCTCTCCAATATTGTCTTGATCCATAGTCCATCTCCACAAACAGTTTCTCTCAGATAAACAACTAATTGTAAAACGTTCTCAATGTTTGTCTCTATGTTATCAGTTTTTAAATTGTATGAAAGTTTGTTGTCAATTAAGTTACACAGTCTGAGAGACAAAATTTCATGCCAAATTCTACTATATCTCATAGTGATGGTTTTCCTTTTTGTCATTAGAAAAATTGATTTTATATAATCTGAGATAAACTACAAAGTGAACATAAAATTATATAGGGATAAGTGCAATGAAAAGTAATAATAAATATCATGGTTCTAATGAATATCAAAAAGCCATTGGTTTTTTAGAAAAAGGATGTAATTGTGGTTGTTCTTCAAGAATTCCTAAGGAAAAATTTGCAGAATTAAGGGAATCCTTTTAAGCTCTTTCTAAAACAGAACAAGATATATTTTTAATGGCCCAACTTAAGGCAATGGATGGAGGGGTAATAAGCATTAGCAGACACCTTAAAAAGAAAACTAGATCTAATAAAAGAACCTTCTATCACTGGGATCACAATACACTTCTTTGTATCAATATTATCCTTATTATAAGTAATCAAGTGTTCATTGACAGGTAAGGAATAAGACTAAAAGAGATATCTTTATTAACCTTATCAAATTAAATTCTGAAGAAAGTAAAGAACTATTTCAAAAGTGGTTGAAAGAAGGCAAAATAGAAGAATTCAACTCTAAAAGAATATTGGAAAAAGAATATGAAGGATGAGATTCAATCAACCTAAGTTGTTATAATTATTATGACCTTAGAAATCTTTCTCTTGATGAAATAGTCAATAGTTTGAATGAATTAACTTTTAAAACTAAGGAAAATTTTGATAAAGTGGCTAAACAAAATCAAGAATATGAAGAAAAGATTAAAGAGTTAGAGGCTGAGTTAAAAAATCAAGATGAAAGAATAGAGGAATTGGGAGAAAGGGTAGAAATAGAACAGGAACAAGTTAAGGAAGTCATAGCAGTTGGTGAAAAATGAAGCAAAAATCAAGCAGAAGACATAAAAGAGAAAAACCAAAAATTAGAAATTTCTAGTAAGATAATTGATAAGTTAGAGCAAGAACTAGTTCAAGAAAGGGAAAAGGCAGAAACATCTAATAAGACAATTTCAGAAAAAGATTTGCAAATCAAAACCTTACAAAAGAAAACAAAAAAGTTGCAAAACCAATTACATTTATTTGAAAAGGATTTACCTGCTTTACCTAAAAAACAAAGTAAATTTAAGTTATTTAAGGAAAAAACAAAAACTAAATTAAATCAATTGATAGAGAACAAAAAACACCAAATCCAAGAGTTAGTTGCTAGAATAGAAGTAAACAGATGATTAATGAGAGAGTTAACTTACATGCTTTTAGATTTAGAAAAAGCAAGTTGAAAAACTTGTGATTTTTGTTCTAATCTTTATGGAGAGGATAATAAGTCTGTTAATCAAATAGCAGCTTGTATTTAAAACAAATGGTAAATATGTTGCAGATGATGTAGTTTGTGAGAGCTGTAAGGAAAAGTTTGAAAATGATGAACTAGAAAAATGTGAGAAATGTGGCAGATTACAAACTAGAAATTACCTTGATGTTCTTAGTGGCAAATATATTTGTTTTTGTGTCAAATATGAAGAAGATATGGAAGAAAAAGAACCTCCTCTCTTGCCTCATGAAGAAATAAGTCAATCTGCTTTCTACAAACAGCCAATAAACTCTCTGAAAAAAACAACTAAACAAGACTGAAGAAGCCCTAGAATTTAAAAGGGAAGAAGTAATCAAGTTTCAAGAAAAGTCTGAGGTAAGAGGCAAAAGCAAGAACTTTTGGATAGAATAAAGGAATTGGAGACTGAACTAGAAAGATTAAAAAAATTAACCCCTAAAGAACTATATAGTTGATAAATTAAGTGTTAAAGAAAAGGAAGTCAATGATTTAAAAGTTCAATTAACCCAATTGCAACAACAGAATGGTCAAATTGCTCAAATTGAAGTTAAAGAGACTAAAAGATGATCTTGATTGAAAATGAGAAAGTAGTTTCTGTATAAATTGAAATTCATTCCAACTATCAAAGAAAATGGTAGTTATTTTCCTTTTAAGGATTTCTGCTTTTTGTTAGGTAATAGCATACTTTCATTCTGCTTTCTTTTTCTAACATTTATTATTTTTCTTTCTTCTTGGTAAATTTCATAAGTAATCCTTTCTTTTCTTAGATAAGCTTCCATTGTTTGAGTATCATTTATTTTGAAAATATAGGGAGCAATTTTTTCGCCTTGTTCCTTTTTTAAAAATACTTCTGATAGTACTATGATTCTTGGGTTCCATAGTAAATTAATTTCATATTAACTATTTTATATAGGGACAGTTCTACATATACATCACTTAATGAATGGGGCATTATAAACTAAATTGTGATGATAATAATTAAATTTGATCCCTGTAATTTTTGGTAATACCAATGTTCACTTTGTCTGGTTTTGTTGCAGTATGCCTCATATAAAGATGAACCACAATTCAATTTTCATATGCCACAACCACAACCATAATTCTATTCTTATATATATACTGTAATTAGCTGCGGCGAGTTGCAAGTAATAGAGATTTATTGGTAAATAGTCATATATATGTGTTTGTTTATATTACATATGTAACTTGACGAACTTTTACATGGATATAATTAAATTTAAAAAGAATTTATGACAATAAAGTTTATGATGTTGTATAAAAATTTTTTTTTAATATTAATATTGATGAACTTCTCCTTGTCCGGAATTCATTTTTTTATAATTAATACGAAAATATAGAAGGTTTACTATAGAGAGTGTGTGTGTGGAACTTTGTACCGTCCAAAACCAAAAGAGTGAAGAATTTTCAAATTACAGATCAGCAAACGAATTTCTATTATAAATTGATCTATTTTTTTTTACTCTTGCATATTAATAAAAAATTTTTTATCAAGAAATTTTTTACGGACAAAATGGCAGATATTAAAGATATTTCCAGTAAACAAATTTTGAATTGGTTTTTATTATTATCTAATCATATTTATTTTCGAGAAAGTGATTCATTACTATTTTTCTATTCTTCATAAATTACTTGTTGAAAATTGTTTTTTATAAATTTATTATTATAAATTACTTTGTGATTGAAGAACACAAAAAAAAAAAAAAATGGAGCTGAAACATTTAGTCAATAATATGGTCAATTACCAATTATCAATATCGACGCTTGATAAAAGTTAGAATGGGTATGTAAATAATTTGAATCCAGAGGCAAGTATTAAAATTTTATTACGAATTATATATAAAAATGACAATGATTAGAAAATGGTTTTGCACCACTCTTAGACCGTATCATGGTCAATGAAGTTAAACATCACCTTTCATTCTTCAAAAATGAGCCAATATATATATATGTATATAAAATAATAATATTATTATTATTTTAATTAATCACCCCTTTACATTATTTCTTTTCTTCTAAATATTAGATACAAATCCAGAATTATAAGCCTCTTGAAGCTATTTCTATTGATCATTTGCCATGTTCATCTTGATTAATAGAAAGGAAGAATATTTAGAGCTTTGGAATTTGCACAAGATGAATTGGCATCTCTTGAAGAAGAAAATGCAAGTCACAATTTTAACAACATATATAAATATAATATGTTGTAATTCATATTTATACATATCCAAAAAAATTATAACAATATAAGTCTGATTTTATTGAACTCGAGAGATCAATGGCACTATTAGCATTGATGAGATTTATTTCGTACATCACAATATTTATGTACAGCCGGTGAACAAATGCTGGAACTTTAACTTCACAAAGATCCAAAATTACCATATTAATATTTGGTTTGGGTTCAAATGAATAGATGAAAAATTAACATATCCTAAAATGAAAATTTAACAATTGCTAAATTAATCAAAATTGATAATAACAGCGATAATAATAAAATTTCTTCTATTTTACCAATAATAATGTGCTTTCCCTTTTTAAATAAATTGTATTACATTAATAAATCTATATAAATAGTAAAATTTAAAAAAAAAATTTTATAAAAAAAAAATGTCCAATTCACCAAAAAAAAGAAAAGCCGATGAATCTTTAGAATTAGATTTAGAGGACGACGATTATGTACCGTATGTTCCTATTAAGCAAAGACGTGAAGCAAAGCTTCAAAAACTTGCTAGCCAAAGACGCATTCCAGAGCCACAAAAGGATAAAGAGGTTGAAGAGGAAGAGGAAGATTCACATAAAGCTGGTCCCAAAGCTAATATCAGTCTTATAGATCAAGCAGTTGAAGTTAAAAAACAAAAACGAATAGAAGGTTAATGATGATAACATCATAAACCAAGTATTTATTTATTTATTTTGTTTAACACAGTATTATTATTTTTATTTTATAAATATAGATGCTTTCAAAACTGACGCAGAAAAGAAATTAGAGGAAGAAAAGGCAAT